AGGCACCTGGTACGAGCCCTGCCCGCTGCCCTGGCCCATCCCGCCAGCCCCTGCTTTCCTCTGAGACCAGGGGGGCAGCAGCTGCCCGCAGGCTGGGGTGGGGGTTCAGGAAGGGGCCTGAGTCTGGAGACTGGGCGGGAAGTCACCCCCTCCATGGGCCTGACTTGGGGCACATAAGACTGAGCCTAGGGGATGGGGGCCCGGGCCATCGCTGTCACCTGGGGACCATCTGCAGATGCCCAGCTGCCCGGCACATGCACAGGGGCAGGCTCCCCTGCTGGCCCCCGGGCGGGCTGGGTCCCCCACTTAGACGGGCCCCTGAGGGGGGCCACACCGCGGACAGGCTGGGCCTCCTGGGCGCTCTGCCTGCTCCTCCATTGCATGGGGCAAGGGACTGCACGGCTCACAGAAGGACGGGGTGGCTCTGAGCCTGGCTCTGGGGGTGGGGGGTAGGCAGACCCCTCGGGCCTGCTGATGGGGAGTGGACTTGGCCCCCCAGCCCCTGCTCGTGGTGCCAAGTCCCCCCGCTGGGCTGTTTGCCTTGGAGGTGGGGCGGGTTTGTGTCCGGCTGCGTCAGCTCTGGCCTGTCCTGGGGGCCGTCCCTGAACCCTCTGGCCAGCCCCACCCAGGCTGCCCTGCCCAGCGCCTGAGGCCCAGGAAGGGGTGGGCACTGGATGAGGTGGGTCCCCGGGGCCTTTGTCCGTGTGTCCGGCTGGTTCTGACCCGCAGTCCTGGGCATATTCGGTCACGTACGTGCTCTTTGGAACTTTAGTCGTGAACACACTTCCCTCCGGGGCCTGGGACGCACGGGCTTTGCAACAGCAACACTTCATGTTTCCTTTATTTTTTAAAATATCTTTTTATTGATTTCAGAGAAGAAGGGAGAGGCAGAGAGAAACACCGATGATGAGAAAGAATCACTGATTGGCTGCCCCCTTCACGCCCCACACTGGGGATTGAGCCCACAACCCGGGCCTGTGCCCCGACCGGGAATCGAACTGTGACCCCTGGTTCCTAGGTCGACGCTCAACCACTGAGCCATGCTGGCCGGGCTTTATGTTTTATTTTATTTTATTTTTTCTGTAAGGAAATATAAACCTGGTGTGGCCCTCTAGGCGGATGGAGGTGGCGGGGAGGGTGACCGAGAGGGGAGAGGCGGGAGAAGGCCCCTCTGTAGCAGCCGGGTCACCCCCTGGCCGTCGGAGCCGCACTGCTGCCCACAGCTGGTGACACACCTGCTCGAGGAACCCCTGCCCCCTCAGGTCCTAGAAAACAGGGCCCAGTCCTCCCGGCCCAGGTCCCGAGTCGCTGGCAGCGGGACGAGGCCCACGCTCCTCTCACCCTCCCTGATGGCCTCCCGGGCGGAGAGCTGTGAGCTCCGCAGTCGGCCCTGGGCCGGGGCCCCCTCCGCCTGCCTCTGCTGGTCACACAGCCGCGTGACCCTCCCCAAACCCCGTCTCCTCCCCGTGGAGTGGTCCTGGCCCTTCACCCGCGCCCACCCCTGGGCCATCCTCACCTTCCCTCCCAGCCCCTCCTCACCCTCTGCCCTCCCAGCCCACCCGCAGCTGGTCTCCTGCTCCGGTCACCCCCAGCAGCAGGGCCGAGGGGCCTGGCCCTT